ACAGAAAAAACACAAGACAAACAAAAACACAGACACACACAGACACACAGCACACAGACACACAGACACACAGACACACAGACACACAGACACACACACACACACACACACACACACACACACACACACACACACACACACACACACACACACACACACACACACACACACACACACACACACGGAGGCACGCAGTCACCAAGCTTACCCCGTAAGGTGGCTGGCCGTAGGGTGGCTGCTGATATCCAGACATGGCTGTGAGCTCAACGAAGGGGGAGGAAGAGGCAGATCGCTGGACTGGCTGGTTGGTGGTTGTCGGCAACAAGACACACGATGCAACGAAATGAATGAAACACTGAATCAAGCAATCAAGCAATCCTCTCCATCCACAACAACGAATACAAACAAAAGCCTGCAGCAGCTGCGGCGAACACAACAGCGATCGATGATGATGAGGTGGAGGGGCGGGGTTGCGCTGGGAGCTGGCCCACATGCTGCATCATCATCCGTCCTGCCCTCATTCTCCTGCTTCCCAAGCGCGCTGGTGCTGGTGCTGGTGCTGGTGCTGGTGCTGGTGCTGGTGCCGTCGGCGTTGCCACTTGTGTGTGCACAGGCTGTGCTGGAGGAGGATGCAGCGGGAGCATTCCACATGAACACATCAGCGGCGACAGCGCCTGTTCTCTTGAATGGACTGGACGTGGTTGGTGTGTTGCAGGAGCAGCAAGATGTGATCCACGCGCAGGCGGCTGCGATCGAGACGCTGCGAGACAAGAACGCGGCTCTCAAGACGTCGCTATGCAGGAGATACCCGCCTGGTGCAGATACCACCACCATTTCGGACTTCACGGGGATCGAGAGGTGGCTCGGCGGCGTGCTGGCAAGCAACGGCTTCATCTACGGCATTCCATATCGAGCCACGTCTGTGCTGATCATCGACCCAACAACCAACACGGCAGATATAACCACGATCACAGGGTCCCATCTGAGTGGGCTGTGGGGCGGCGGTGTTCGTGCGAAGGATAGCAACTTGATTTACGGGTTCCCTCACACCGCCAGCTCTGTGCTCATCATCGACCCCGACACCAACTCCGTCGACGTCACCTCCATTCCCGTTCCCGGCGCCGTTGCTGGCGCGTGGGCGAGCGGCCTTACCTCCGACTACAACGGCCTCATCTTCGGCATCCCTTGGCTTGCGTCTGCCATCTTGGTCATCGACCCCAACACCAACACTGCCGACACCACAAGCATGCCCACCACTACCAGTGCTGATGTGCTGTACAAGTGGTATGGCGGTGCGCTTGCCCCTGACCACCGCATCTTCTGCATCCCCCTCAACGCTGAATCGGTGCTCATCATTGACCCCGTCACCAACACGACGGACGAAACAACAATCGCCAGCCTGCCTGGAAGCGGCTGGTGGTACGGCGGCGTGCTCTCAAAGCGCAACGGCCTCATCTATGCTGCGCCCCGCAACGCCCCCGCCGTTCTTGTCATCGACCCCTCCACAAACGCCTTTGACTACACCAGCATTGCTGGCCTCCCCATGACCGTTGCAAAGTGGCGTGGCGCCGTGCAAACCAGGGATGGCCGCGTTGCGTGCATACCCAGCGGTGCCACCTCTGTCCTCCTCATCGACCCAGCCACCAACACCACAGACCACACTTCCGTCACCACAACCGACATCCCAGGGAGCTTGTACAAGTGGTTTGATGGCGCGCTTGCTCCCAACGACCTCATCTACGCCATGCCCCACGCCTCCCCAAGCGTGCTCATCATTGATCCGGGTCTTTGCAACCTACAGTGATGTGTGTAATGTTAATGGCACTTGGTCGTGACGTGACGCGAGTTGGTGGGGACATGCATGCTCATTGTACGTTTGCATTCGCCACCCCTTTCCTTCCAATTTCCCTCTGCATCCTCTCGTTCGGATGTTTGCTTGTGTGAGCTCTCCTTGTTGGCCTTCAACCTTCCTTGACCTCGCATAGACCGTAGCTTCGAGTTCGTTCATAGATCGTGCGGTCGACGAGACCCACACGCAGTGTTACATCTCATTACTACCCAACTGTGCACGCTTTGTGATATGATGTGCGGTTTGTTACAACTGTATTGACAAGAAGCAGGACTGTCGCATTCACATCTCACACCAAACAGCATTGCACTTAAAAAATGAAAGCAGCCCTCAACTGCGTGCTCAGCGTACGCATCGACAACATCCAATACATGCCGCTAACAAGGGAAAGAAGGAAGAGTGTGTGCACGAGTGAGATGGAATGGGGAGAAGGAGGGATGCATGCCTCGCAACACAAAACCGGCGCACAGGCGAGAGACTCAGTAAGAGGTGAGCATGAGGAATAAACACGGCACAATCATCATAATGCCATCACACGGTGACACAAGCGCCCACGTGCTGCTGCTTCTAGTTCCACTTGAAGTCAAACTGGATCTCGTCTGCCCGCGCCATCAGCTCACGCTGGGCTTGCTCCTGATGGTGATGTGTTGTTGCAGTGTGTGAGGGTGGAGGAGGGGGTGGGACCGTCTGGGTGAGGCACAGAGGTAACAACAAGGGAGGGCGTGCCACAAATACGAACGCACACCACACACACACACATGACACACACACACACACACACACACACACACACACACTCACACACACACACACACACACACACATGTGCAAACAACAACACACATGTACACAAACCTTCTCCTCTTCGTCGCGCCTGCGCTTCTCTTCCAGCTCGCGCTGTAAGTGTTCCATCTCCGACGACCTCGCTACCTCTTCTTCGGCTTTCTTGCGCAGATACTCGCGGCGCAGCGCCTCGGCATGCTTCTTCTCTTCCTCAGCGCGCTCTGCACGCCGTCGCTCAAGCTCAGCCATAAAGTCCTCGTCAAAGTTGATGCTTGTCACTGCAGTGTTGCGATGGCACGTGCCATCGAGGAAGGGAAGGCGCGGGGGGGGGTGCAGTTGGTCGTGTTGGTGATGAGGGTGCGTGGATGTGAGGGAGAAGCAGCACAGGGTATTAACGCAAGCAGCGAACAAGACAAACCAACACTGGCACACAGACAGACAGACAGACAGACAGACAGACAGACAGACACACACACACACACACACACACACACACACAACACGCACCCGAGATGACGGAGGAGCGCTTGTTTGAGCCAGATGCGGTGCTGCTGTTGTTGTCGTCATCGTCGTCGTCGTAGAAATCATCATCGCTGTCGCCCTGACTTGTCTGCAGTGGTGCTGTTGCGTCTGCAAACGGGTTGCTCATGTCAAAGGGGTTGCTCGACTGTGAGGTGAGCGCTGGCTTTTGCTTCTTCTTCACAGAGGCCGTCTTCTTCGCCACAGCGGGGCCCTTCTTGCCGCCCCTCGGCTGCTGCTGTTGCGTTGACGCTTTTGAGGAGGAAACGGCCGTGTCAAACTCCGTCATTGTCTCGTGCGCCTGTTGGGCAGAGGCAACATCACACATGTGAGTGAGCGAGTGTGTGTGTGTGTATGTGTGTGTGTGTGTGTATGTGTGTGTGTGTGTGTGTATGTGTGTGTGTGTGTGTGTGTGTGTGTGTGTGTGTGTGTGTGTGTGTGTGTGTGTGTGTGTGCAGAGCAGCAGCCGTGCGAAGACTGCAAGAACTTGCATCACGCCCAAACATGCCACCACCACCACCACCACCACCACCACCACCACCACCATCAACTCCACAGTCTTTCGCACCTTCTTGCGCAGCTCTTCGATGCGGGCCTCGGCCTTGGCCAAATCCTCGCTGTCCTGGAGCTCAAACCCGAGTTCGCCCCTGGTGTGCACGCACGCGTCAGTGAGATTCCCCGGTGTGGGCAACGCAGACAAAGAACACATGCACAGACACAGGAACCCACGCACATGCAAAGGAGCAGACACACACAAACATACACGGACACACAGCCACACACAGCCGCACACAACACACAGACACAAACATACACACACACACACAGCCGCACACAGCCACAAACAACCACACACACACACAAAGCTGTGTCACTAACAGGGCGGCCTGTCGTGTCGTCTGCCCTGTGCCAACACCGGTGAGCACCGTCTTCTTCGCTTCGCGTCGCTTGCGGTCCTCGTCCGTCTCCGCCCACAGCACCTGCGGGTTCAGTGCCTGGTAGATGCGACTGTGGCCCGACGCTGCGCTGGCAGACGCAGTCACTGTCTTCGTGGCTGTCGTGGCCGTAGCGCTTGTCACGGTTGCTGTTGTTGTTGTTGTAGTTGTTGTTGACGACGATGCTGTGATTTGTTCCGCCTTCATTGCCACCTCAGCCTGCTGCTGCTGCTGCTGCTGCTGCGTGACTGGCGCTGCGTCTGGCTTCGCCTGTTGGGCGTGCCCATCTGCTGTAGACGTGGGCGTGGTCACAGCGTCACTCACGCTGCCACCTGCGCCGCTGCTCGCGGTGCTCACGTTGCTGGCCGTGCGGCTGTGTGTATCTCTTCTCTTCACGGGCGGAGGTGGTGGCGCCTTCTTCTTCTTCTTCGCTGCAACCGCAGGTGCTGCTGCCGTCCTTGCTGGCGACGCAGGCGTTGAGGACGTCTGTGACCCTTGCCGAGAGTGGCCGGGCGTCTTGCGCGCAACCGGTGGCGGTGGCGGCTTCTTCTTCTTCGCCGCAATCGCCGCCACAGACAGCGGCACACCTGTTGTTGCAGGCGCAGCTGTTATTGCAGATGGTTTCTCTGTTGGCTGTGCCGCTGTCGCCTCCTCGGCTGCTGCTGCCGCTGGTGTTGTTGCTGGCGTTGCTGTTGCTGGTGCCTGTTGCGCTTCCTGCTTTGGTGCTTCCAGGAAAGCGGCACCTGTTGTTGCCTCTGCTGGCTTCTCTTCAGGCGCTGGCTTCCCTTCGTGCACATCGACCGTCTCCGTTGTAGGTTTCGGCTCTCCCTCTCTCTTCTCATGGGTAACCTCTGCTGCAACGACCTCCTTCTCTGCTTGGGTCTCTGGCTCTTCTTGTGGCGCAGCTGCCGTGGTAGCGGCTGGGGTCACATCTCCCTTGGTTGTCTCCGCCTGTTCCTCTGCTTTCACTTCTTCCTTCTCCTCCCCTTCTTCCTCTTCCTTCTTCACTTCAACTGCCTCCTGCTGCTCCTGCTCTTCCTTCTTCACTTCAACTGCCTCCTGCTCCTCCTGCTCCTCCTGCTGCTCTTTCGCCTCTCCTTCTGCCTTCTTCTCCTCCTTCTTCTCCTCTTCCTCCTCCTTCGTGACCACCGGCTTTGGCTCATCAAACGTCACTGCAAACGCATCCTCGCCCTTTTCCTGCGCTGCTGCTGCGGTTGTTGTGGATGTTGTGGGCGGAGGGGCAAACGGATCGTCGTCGCCAAACCCAGACGCGCTCGCGTCAGATGCCGTCTCAGCAGCAACAGCGAATGGATCCACAGATGAGTCATCAAACAGGGGGCCTGTGGCGGCGGGTTCTTTGGCGCCGCTGCCTTCTTCTCCACTGCCCTGCCCACCCTGCTGTTGCTCACGCTCAACAGCAACAGCAGCAGCCGGCGTCTCCTGTGTTGCAAATGCGGCCTCATTGCTATTGTCCCCTTCCGTTGTGGCGGTTGCTGCCGCTGTTCCCCACGCGTCTGTTGCCCAGTCGCCCGTGGCTGCCGCTGTCACAGCAGTAGTCGTGGTGGTGGTTGCGGTGGCGCCCTCACCGGCCAACGCATCAGCTGTCGCTGGTGCTGCTGTCACGGGCTGCAGGAACGGGTTTGAGGCGTCAAATGGAGACGAGGACTCCGCAGCCGTCGCCTCTGGCACAGACTTGATGCGGAACTTGATGGTGTTCGTGCGTGCGCGGGGCTTTCGCTCCTCATCATCGCTATCGCCGCCGCCGTCGCCATCGCCAGCACCGCCCATGCGCGCGTGTCCCGCAGCATCCGCTTCATCCTCGCGCTCTGTGTCGGTCGTGTCGCTGTCGTCATCATCCTCCCTCTTCTTGTCGCTGAACGTGGCCTTGAACAGGTCGGCAGGGGACGGCCCAAACGGGTTGCGAGGGTCGTTGTCTTTCACAACCGTGAAGCCTTCCTCGTCCACCTCGGGCTCGCTGGTCTGGCGCTTGATCTGGTCCTCCAATTGCAGCACCTTCGCCACCGCCTCGTCTTGCGTCAGTTTCCCGCTCTTCACCAGCATTAACACCTCCAGCTGCTGTTCTTTTGTCAGGTGCAGCTCCGACGCCTTGAACGTGGGCGGCTCGCTGGACTGCCGTTTCACAGCCGCTGCCTGTGACCCTTCATCGCCCTGTGCCGATGACTCTGATGGCTTTGATGACGCTGCTCCTTGTGCGTCCTCCTGTTGCTGCTGCTCTGCGCCTTCAGCAGCGGCGGTGCTGGCTGCTGTTGTGGCTGCAGTGGTGGTTGTGGTTTCCTCTTCCCCTTCGTCTTCTTCTTGTTCCGGTTGTTCTTGCCCTTGTTGCTGTGCTTCGCTTGCTGCTGCTTGCGGGTGATGGTCTTGTTGCGCTTCAGCCACATCTGCACCAACAGCGGCGCTCTCCTCCTCTGCTTTCTCTGCTTCATTAGCAGCTGCGTCTTCGCTTGATGCCTGCGCCGGCGTCTGTGCCTCCTCGCCAGCACCTTCCACGGCCGTTTCCCCCGCTTCTTCCTCATGCTGTTCCTCCTCCACTGCCTCGGTTGACTCTGCTGCCTCGGTTGAGTGGGCGAGCATGGCAGCGCGGTCCAGGATGGTGCGTTGGTGCCCACCATCTGTGATGCCCATCTCATCAAGATCAGACGCCGTCACGTCAGACACAAACTCCGTGTCGTCAAAACCATGCTCGATAAACGTCTGCGTGTATCTCTGCATGAACGCCAACACACGAGTTGTGTGTTGTGTTGTGTTGTGTTGTGGTGCGTGAGGGGAAATATGCGTGAGTTAAGTGCGGGCACGCGTGCAGGGGTGCACACAACAAGACAAGGAACATCAGGGACATCATGCACATGCACACACCATCCCCCCCCCCCCACACACACACACACACACACACACACACACACACACACACACACACACACACACACAAGGCGACACAATTCCGGCCCACTCAACTCAACAACTCCCCAAAAAGCAACGCAGCCCAACGCACACACCTCGAGCTGCATGTCCTGCAGCCAGCTGTGCACGGAGGACGATGCTGCGTCAGATGTCGACGTGCGACCAGACGGCGCAACAACGGCAAACGACCCCTGTTCCTGTTCCCGTTCCTGCTGCTGTTCGTCCCGCTGTTGTTGCTCTTGCTCATGTGTGCTTTCCTCGCTCGTCACGGCAACGGCCTCAGCCACTTGCGTCGTCTCTTCTGTCTCCTCCTCCTGCTCAACATCGACCACGCTCTCGTCAGCGCCAGCGCCAGTGACCGTGGTAGTGGTGGTGGTCTTTGTCTTGGTTGTCGCGGTGCGAGTGGCAGTGCCCGCGGTCACGGTCAGGCGCCGTGGTGCCTCGCTAAACAAGTCAGACTTGACTGCGCGCGAGCTGCGAAGCGTCTCTCTGTTGGGCTTACGGTGGCTCATCTTGGGGCGGGAGAGGGTGTTGTGCCGCAGCGGCACCTGGTTTTCCAGCGCGGCGTTGATGTACGCAAGCTCGTCGGAGGAAAACATTTCCGATTGACTCAGCGCTTTCTTGAAGTCGCGTGTGCGTTTCATTTGCGATTCTACATCAAGGATGCGGTTGATTGCCTCGTCCACCGTCAGCTTGCCCAGTTTCACCTGCGCAGTTTCGTTCGAGAAAAGGGAGGGGGGATGATGTGTGAGTGGGTACGTGTGCACGTGCGTGTGTGTGCACACACAGAGAGAGAGAGAGTGTGTGTGTGTGCATGAGTGCGTGGAAGTGCGTGAGTGTGTGTGTGTGCATGAGTGTGTGCATATGTGTGTGTGTGCATGTGTGTGTGCATGTGTGCATGAGTGTGTGCATGTGTGCGTGTGGGTGTGTGTGTGAAAGAGAGATAGAGTGCATGCGTCTCTGTGTTGGGCACCCGTGTTCCAGGCGCACGAAGCCCATGCGAGAAACAAGACAACAATTTGCCAAGAGACACAATCACACGACCCTGACCGACCTGGTGCATGATGGCCTTCCTGGCCTGATCCGGGATGCGAATGTCCTCGTCTTCCTGCTCTTCCGTATCATCGCCTTCCTTTGCGCCATCACCATCAGCACCATCAGCACCATCAGCACCATCACCAGCGTCACCGTTCTCGTCGGCCTTGCCTTCATTGCCGGTGCCGCCGCCGGGGAGACTGCCGAGTGCAAGCAGTTCCTCAACAGCAAGCACTTTCGCGATGGCTTCGTCAACAGACAGCTTGCCATCACGCACCATGCTCATCACGGCGATGCGCTGCTCGTCCGTCATCTTCATCTCGTTTGCCTTCAGCTCTGTGCTCGGTTGGATCACACGCACGTGCGAGCCTGCACCCGCACCAGACGCCGTGGAGGCTGACGACGATGATGACGACGACACCCCACCGACGGCTGCGGTCACACCCGCACCGGCGCCATTGTCCTCCTTCTTGCGCCACCGCTTTGTCAGCGATCGCAGGAACTTCTTTCCGCGCGTCTCGCGCCGGGCCGGGTGTCCGTGTTCGCCACCGCTGCCGCCCAACTCAGCAGCAGCGGCATCCCCGGCCTCGCCGTCCTGCGCCTGGGCGTGCTCCTGCTGCTCGTGGTGTTCTTGATCTTGGCTGTTGCCAGCTGGGCTATGCTCGTGCGCGTCCGTGTCTGCAATATCCTCTGGCTGAGCAGCAAAGTTGACAGACTTGTCGTGTTTCTTGTGCTTCTTTGCCTTCTCGTGCTTCTTCTTCTCCTTCTCCTTCTCCTTGTCCTTCTTCTTGTTCTTCTTCCCGCCGTCAGTCCCTGCTGCTGCTTCACCATCGCCATCAGCGTCCTCCTTGTCTTCTTCCCTGGAGACAGACACGAGCTGTGTCCCCGACGGCGACCGTGCAAACGAGATCATCGTCGTCGTTCCCCGCGACTCCAGCTCCCCAAGCGTGTCGCTCTGCACAGATGTCAATGGGGTGGTGGTGATGAGTAATGATGAGTAATGATGAGTGGAGGTAAGTGGTGTGAAATGAAACAAAGCAAGCACAAAACGTATGAAGGTTGGGGTCGTGCGCATGCACGGGTCGTGTGGCAAGCAAGCAGACACACTCGTGCTGTAAACACACACAAACACACATACATACATCGCACAAACACACACATACATCGCACACACACGCGCGCACATACCGCCTCGCCGTCGTCTGTGTCTGTATCTTGTTGGTGCTTGTGCCCGTTTGCAGTGACAGCATCGCCATTTCCTTCGTCCTGCTCTTCCTGCGGTTGTTCTTCCTGCTTTTGCTGCTCCTGCTGGTGGTTGGAGCCAGGTTGCGCCTCCGCTGCTGCTTCCTGCTGTGCGCGCTGCTTGTACTTGTCCTTGTCGCTGCCGCGCACGCCGGCTGGTGGGTAGTGCTTGAGGCTTGCCTCATACTCGGCCTGCTGCTCTGGGGTGAGGTCGTCAAAGTAGGCCGGCTCCTCGTCGGGCCGCTTCGGCTTGAGCTGCTGCGATTGCTCCTGCGCCATGAAAAACGCGTCGTTCTTAAACGACACCATGTTCTGCGCCAGCTGCTCTCGCCGCTTCTGCCCAGACTTGAACAGGCTCAGGCTGAACGTGCGTGAGGATGTGGATGCCGATGACGAAGATGGTGCGGGTTTCTTCTTCTTCTCGGCTTTACGGACAGAGTGCTCCCGCAGATCCTCCAGCACCTCAGCGACGGCAGCGGTGTCTGAGGGAGAAAAGGGGGGGGGGGTTGGTGGTAGGTCATTGGTGCATGTACGTGTAAAGGGTGCGAGATGAGAACTTGGATGAGATGAGTGAACAGCTTGTTTGTCACTGCTGATTGCGTGCATGCTCGCACAGCGGCACACGCATGCACACGCACGCACGCACGCACACACACACACACACACACAACATACAACCACGCACACACACACACAACCATACAAGCACACACTCGTCTAACTCTAACCTGATTCCACCAAGTCTGCGATTTCGTTGATGAGGTCGTCTGGGATATCAGCAGAGCCATCATCTTTCCTGCTCGCGTAGTCACCCGCACAGTCACACAAGGAAAAAAAAACACCCCCAAAGGTGAGCAGATTCAAGACACAGCAGACAATCAAAGCCTCCCATGACACCAGTCATGCTGACAGGGCACTGCTCCACACTCACGTATATGGGGGCTTCCACAGCTTGACACCGCGTTGGCGCAGGGCGCTCTTGATGTTTTGCTTCAACGTCGCCATTCTTTCTCTGGCGTGGGCATCCACGTGAGCTGTGCCGGGACCTTGAAGGCAGTTGTTGCGTCTGCTGGCCGGAGTGCTGCTGTCATGCACTGCCGCAGAGGGTGGCGTGCCTTGTGCTAACATGACCAAGCAGGCACAAGTAAGGGAACCAGAAACGTTCAAGGATGAGACACCGCAGTGTGTGGTGTGCGTGTGTGTGTGTCAGGAGGTGAGTTGTACGAGTGGTACGAGTGGTACGAGTGGGTCAGGAGTGCGGTGGTGGTTGATTGATGAATGGGATGAATGAATGAATGAAAGAGTCAATCAATGGCGATGTGTTGGATGGACGGATGACTGTGAACCAACGGATGAATACAAAGTGGTGCTGTGAACCAAGCGCGTGTACAGGGGTTGCACAGTTGGTTGTGGACAACGCCACGCTGGCTGACAAGGACGAGGGCTGAACAAGTGCAATGACATGACAGGGAGAGTGTTGCTGGCTGGATTTGTTGGGTGGTGGAAATCAAAACACAGAGCAGCGTGTGCCCACCTGATGGCAAGCGGTGAGAACCTTCTGAGTCAGTCACAACCGGCAGCAGCAAACTGTGGCGGTGGTCCTGGGCCGCGAGCAATGCAAGTGTCAGGATAGGGAGGGGGAGACGCGTGTCTCGTATCACAACACAGAGCAGAGAGTGGTCACGTCTTTGATGTGGTCGAGGTTGGGAGTTGTGTTTGTGTGTGTGTGTGTGGTGTGAGATTGCTCTTGTTGTGTCGCTTTGCCTTCTTGCTTTGGCTTCAGGGAAAAAATAAACGAACCACCCCCCGATACCAATTTTTTAATTTCTACTGGCGATTCGATGCCGAATTAACGAAAGCTGCCGCTGCTGCTTGTTGTTGTTGTTGCCAAGACGCAGAGACAGCAAACAGCAAACAGCGCGACTGCTTGGAGGTGTGTGGTGCTGTGAGGCAGACCACGAGCACACAGACACGTACATAGACACGTACACAGACACGTACATAGGCACACGAGTACACAGACACACGAGTACACAGACACGTACATAGACACGTAAACAGACACGCATAGTGCCAGCATTCACCGGCAAAACCATGGCGGTAAGGTGTCCCGGCTACAGCTGCGTGAGAGTGTTGGTGTGGATTTGATGATGTGCGTGGTGTGCATGATGTGCACGATGTGTATGGTGTGTATGTGATATGTATAAACATGGTGTGTGCTTGTGTGTGTCTGTGTGTGATTACAGGATGGGGTTGGCGAGTCGGACGTGCGGGCGCTGATGGAGCGCCTGCGCTCGGCCTTGGAGCAGTCTGAATCAAGAACAGCAAACCTCGACGACAAGTGCAGATCTCTCGCACGCGATCTAGAGGTGTGTGTGTGTGAGTGTATGTGTGTGTGCGTGAGTGTATGTGTGTGAGTGTGTGTGTGAGCGTGTGAGTGTGTGTGTGAGCGTGAGAGTGAGGGACTTTGGCGTGAACGTGTAATCGCGTGTCCGACACCTGTGTCACGCGAGAGAACGCGATACCCCCACCAGCTCTAAACGCAAGAGGGCCGTGTTGACTCTGCCAACATCATACAACAGGAGAGGAAAGCAGGGATACCGGAAGAGGAAGGCAAGGAAGCAAAGCTGCAGCGTGAACTGCAGGACGCGACGAAACAGCTCCACGAGCTGCAAGGCACAACGGCCTCTCTCAAGCGGCAGCTCTCCCTTCTCCAGGTCAGCACTGTGTGTGTGTGTGTGTGTGTGCGTGCGTGCGTGCGTGCGTATGTGTGTGTCTGTGTGCAACCTTGTGTACGTAAGTGTACCTGATTGTCAAGTATCTGTGTGCTTGTCACAGCAGTCCCTCACCGCCCACCAACGCCGTCATCATCTTCATCACCACCACCACCTTTAGGACGAGCGCGATACGCTGAACATGGATCTCGGGGAGCTCCTTGGTCCCGTCGCTTCACAGCACAAGGAAGATGAGGCAAAGCTCCAGCAGCACATTGCAGACACAGAGGAGTACATGATCAAGGTCTGTAAAAGAGAGAGAGAGAGAGAGAGAGTGTGTGTGTGTGTGTGTGTGTGTGTGTGTGTGTACGTGTGTGTGTGTGTGTATGTGTGTGTATGTGTGTGTGTGTGCGCGCGTTCCTCCGAGTGTATGTTCTTTTTCCGTGTCGCTGAACATAAGCAACGCTCTCCTGTTTCAACGCGGCAGTTGAGACGCGAGAATTCGGCAAACGAGGAGCTCAAGGAGAAGATGCGGATCACCATCGCCCAATATGAGGATGACGTGGTGCGTACCACGAGCATGCGCGTGTTTGCGCGTGTGTGCGTAAGCGTGAGTGAGTGAGTGAGTGAGTGAGTGTGTGTGTGTGTGTTGTCGTGTGTGTGTTTGCATGTGTGTGCTCGTGTAGCTTTGTTTGCTTGCGACAATGCGCTGCACGTGTGTGTGTGACGAGCAAGTACGCGTGTTCTGGCGGGCTGCGGGCATGTGATGTCTCCACTTCGCCCACTTGCCGCTCACGTCATGCAATCCACGCACTCAACCATCCTCTCATCCATCCACCCAAACAACCATCTGCCCATCCAACCAACTATCCATCCTCGTTTTCCCCACCGCAACCAACACAGGAGAGCATGGGCGCGCGTGCAGAAAAGCTCTCCCAGAAGCTTGCCATGATCCAGAATGTTCCCGTGCGGACGCGGAAGCAGTGCAACGTCATTGAGGCATCCTTCAATCTTGTCGAGGTCGGTTGCTCGCTGCCTGCCTGTATGGCTGGTCTCGACTTTGTTGAAGTTTTGTGTGTGTGTGTGTGTGTGTGTGTGTGTGTACGCGCGTGTGTGTGCATGCGCGTGTGTGTGCATGCGTGTGTGTGCATGCGCGTGTGTGTGCATGCGTGTGTGTGCATGCGTGTGTGTGTGCACGTGTGTGTGTGTGTAACTGGATGTGGCGCTGAGATCCGCACACTTGCACAAACGCACACATGCACGTACACACATGAACAAACGCGCACACGCTCTGCGTCTGTCTCCTCACATATGCCATGGCAAACGCACATCACAGGACCAGTTGCTGAAGTCTGATGAGCAGTACAACCAGATTCGACACGACATCACAGCAGCAAAAGACGAAGCGTAAGTGCTCTTGACGTGCGTGTTTACGTGTGTGTGTGTGTGTGTGTGTGTGTGTGTGTGTGTGTGTGTGTGTGTGTGTGTGTGTGAACGTGTGAACGTCGGCGTTCTGATCAACATGCCAGGCACCCACACGCTCTTCTCATTCACAACACCAACTCACCCTCTTCCCCTCCCACGCACCACACGCCACCAGGGAACGGCTTCGCACGGCGTTGGAGGAGTGTGGTCTTCAACTGTTGCAAGCGGAACACGAGCGCGAAAACATGAAACGCCGTCATCAGCACAGCTTGAAGGAGGTGCGCGCGCGTGTGTGTGTGCGTGTGTGTGCTTGATTGTATTGACGACATTCTTGATCCCAATGCTTTAGGCTTGACGCATACCACAACCACAAACACACACACAACGCCAACAGGTTGAACAGTACAAGGAGGCGGCGACGGGCCAGCTTGGCGATCGCGCGCTCTACGACACAAAGCGACGACTGGTGGAGAAGGAACTCAAGTCATGCCAGGACCTCGTGAGTCGTGCATGTGTGCAACTGTGCATGTGCGCGAGTTTATGTGTACGTGTGAATGTGTGTGTGTGTGTGAGCACTTCTTCGTGTGCGTGCTTGTGTACATGCATGCGTTTGTGGGTTTATGCGCCCTGCCTTTCGTCGTTCTCTCACTTTGCCAAAACGCCAAACATCACACGTTGGCGGCGCTGCGTGTAGCTGACGCGAAAACTTCGCGAGAAGGAGAAACTGCAGAAGCACCTCAGGCAATCAGAGGTTGGATGGTGTTGTATACATGGACGTTTGTGTGTGTGTGTGTGTGTGTGTGTGTGTGTGTGTGTGTGTGTATGGATGTGTTATGCCTTCAGCTCACATTTTGGTTCTCGCTTATTTTATTGCACCTGGTCCTTGCCTCACTTGCACCACCACCACCACCACCACCACGACTGCAGACGAAAGAGGAGCAACTCGGTGGACTGTGCACACAATTGACAAACATGAAGGCCAAGGTGCACGCGGAGATTGAAGCGGAGCAGAAGCGCGCCATTGAGATTGGCGAATCAACCGATAAGGTGAGAGCGTGCTTTCACATGTGTCTGTGCGCACCCATGTTCGTGTGTGTGTGTGTGTGTGTGTGTGTGTGTGTGTGTGTGTGTGTGTGTGTGTGTGTGTGTGTGTGTGTGTGTGTGTGTGTGTGTGTGCGCATGCGTGTACACTCCCTTTGCCAAGCACCAAGTGGTGTGGACAACTGTCATCATGTCAACAGCAATAGTTGTTGCTTCCACCTCAACCTCACTTCTTCACTCACCGGGGTTTTCATTTTTTCATTTCGATGTGCGTGTGCTGTGCGTGTGTGTATGTGTGTGTCCAGTGCGCCGGATTGCGCAACTGCAGCAGGCGGTGGACAACGCGAGCAACGACCGCATCAAGGCAGAGCGCATGCGTGCGCAGGCAGAGGTGCGTTCGTGGGGCCACAGTGGCGTGCCAGCCACACGTACTGATCACGCTCATGCCCACAAACTTGCAGCAATGCCTGCATTCATGTTCTCCCAACACACCCACG